CTTGGTACACCTTAATTCAATACCAAGTGGCGACTCCGATTTTTATTTCAAAAACCCTTTTTAAACTATAATTTGGGCCCAAATCATCGCATTATAAACCCCATTTAGGCCCATTTTCTTTAAATCAAAAATCCTTTTTCAAAATCAAAAATCAAACCAAAATTCATTTTTTTTAAACCATTTATTTATTTTTCTTATAAAAAATGGGGCGCGACAACTGCCGACTCCACTGGGGACATAGAGAGTCCGAGCAAATTTGATTTAGTCAATCTTTTTCTTCTTTTAACCTTCTCATATATCGCATTTGGATGTTTAGGGTTGCATTCTTCTTTTCCTTCTGCCCTTTTTCTCTTTTTAGGGATTTTGCATCTATCACGCGCATAATCGCTCTTTGCACACTATGTATGTGATGAATGGCTGGTTCATTTATTTGTTTACTTTTACTTGTTTCGCGATTGCATTTTGGGATGGAGGGTAGTTACCCTAGAACCTTCGACTGCATCTAATGGTACAATTCCTCCCTTCAATAAGAAAACACCTCATACGTGCATGTATAGTCTTATTTACCCTATTTTTTTTCTTTTTCGTGGGCGTTTCCCACACCTCCTTGTAGGATTAGGATCGATTGCCTTGGGTAGGCGGATGGGGTGCTCTGCGCCCATAGCGCTACCTAAGGGATCACTCGAGCCACCGATCAAAGGCCTGGGAGTGATGACCCTTCGCCTTTAGGTCTGAAGGCTTGGGAGCCGAAGCCTTATCGAGTCTAGATGAATTAGTAAACCAAATCTCATGCATCCATATTAGAATTGCCTAGGGTAGAGTCGGCCTTATCCTGAATTAGGAACACTAGGCACGAGGGGAGGAATTCCACCCTTCTTTCCTTATTTTTCTTTATTGTCTTTTATATCAATTAATTGCCTCAACGTGTTATGTGATTATTTACTGAACTAACATTTCTTTGTTTTCTTGTCTTTTGCATTCACAAACGCTAGGAATTAAGAGATCTGACATGATCCACTTTAAGAACTTACCCTCTTAGATAGGTTATTGCATGTTTAAGATTCCAATGAATTGCATTTATATATTGAAAATTGAACATCATTCTAGGCCCATCCTGGCATATAAAGGGTTCCTCAGGTCATATTTTGCATATTTAAATTGCTTTGATAAATTGGCATCATGCATAAGCTTTAGAGGGAATGCCAGTTAGGGAATCCCGTTATAGGAATAAACCACCTCGTGTCTCGGATACTTAATCCAATGAGACTGGTTATATTTCTTGTACTGTCCGAAGGGGTAGTGCACGAGATAAGGTAGGATCCGATCTTTTTGAAGACGGCAAAGCAATTTTTGCACATTAGGATATGGGCATCTAACAATCATCTTTTGGCCATTTTAACATATCTGGTAAAAATCCCTTGCATAAAGGACATTAATTTGAAGAAATTTACAAATGGTTCTTTGTTGAGATGATAAACATATTGAGGCCAAATCTTGATTTTAGAAGACTCATGGACTAATGCATCGCAATGATTTTTTGAAACTACCAATAGGTAGACAATTCAATAAACCATCATTTCTATTCAATTCATTTGATCAAATTATCCATCAAATTCATCCAATCTATTTGGTCAATTCATTCATTCCAGAACAATTTGGTCAATTTCGAGTAAATCATCATTTTCATTCATTTGACCAATTTACCCCTTTTTAGGGTGATTCAACCAATTTTTGAATAAATTATCAAATTTCATTCAATTCATTTGACCAGTTTACCCTTTTTAGGTAATCTAGTCATTTTTTTGAATAAATCGTTAATTTTGTTCAATCTATTTGACCAATGTATCCATTTTTTTTAGGGCGATCCAACAAAGTTCATCAATTTCATCTGATTCATTTGACAACTTAGGGGTTTTGATGTCAAGAGTTGGGATGGCTGTTTGTTTTTGAGAAAATCACTCATCGCATTCATTCCATTTGGATAGATTAGGGTTTCGATCCATGTAAGAAATTGCAATCTCCCCAATAACAAATGATTTGTACAAATTCTTGGGCCAACCAAAACCATTCACTCGTTTGGATTTGTCCTCATTTTGTTAAAAGGCCTCCCACTATTCAATTGGCCCAAAATTTTCAAATTGCTTTTCAAATCAAATGTTACTAAGTTGATCGGATCCATCAGGTATGGTATAGTGCCTACCTCAGAGGATTACATCATATTAGGCCTACCCTTGGCACAAAAAGGGTTCCCCCCATAGGACATGCATCCGAATTTTTTGGATATTTACTAACCCTTATCTTTTTCTTTTTCTTTATTTTGTTGAAAAAACCAAGTGAGGGCTAAATCTAAAGGCAAGTCCTTTCAAATTTTCAGGTAATATTTAAACATAACTTCTCGTTGAAACCCCATCATAACACGATCTCGTAGTCAAGCCTAGAGGAATCGTGTAAACATGAGTTCACAACCGGAACCATCGGATAGGTCTGCTACTACAGCTCAACCTAAGACTATGAGTTTAGGGGTGCAGCTAACCAAGATGCTTACTAAGTTTGGTGAGATGGCTACCGAGATGGCGGCCCAAAGGAAATTGATTGATGAGCTTATCAGCAGCAGAGTTCAACCCGAGCCTGTACCCGTCAGGCAACCAGAGCAGGAACCATTTGTCATACCTCCGACTCAAACAACCTCTACTCCATCCTTCCTTATTCCACCCGAAGAGACTTTCACCTATGCCACCATGAATTTGCCATACACTTATCCCCCTAATCCTTCATTTCTTCCTACTCACATGCGAGGTCCACACCCCCAAGTCACTTCGAATGTACTCCCCGAACCACATGCTTTTTATCACACTACCGCAGAGCCCTTACTGCCAGACCATACTGTCCAAGCCAAACCAGAGATAGGAGAATCTTCTGCTCCTGTTGATATGAAATTGCTCAAGCGCCTAGACCGTTTTGATGAATTTATGAGAGAAAGTCAGGGGTTAAACAAACCAGGAGTACTGGACTACGATGAGCTTTGTCTCTTCCCAAATGTGCAATTGCCTGTGGGGTTCAAGACCCCTAAATTTAACAAGTATGATGGCACAGGCAATCCCAAAACGCACCTCCGTCTGTTTGCTAACAAGTTGGGAAGGCCCATAGATGACGAGAATCTACCTCTAAGGCTGTTCCCAGAAAGTCTGGAGGGGGATGCACTCGATTGGTATTCCAACTTAAAACGCGAGGAAGTAAAGACCTGGCTTGACTTGTCCAATGCTTTTGTGAGGCAGTACGAGTACAACTGTGAGCTGGCTCCGACACGAACCACGTTGGAAGGAACAAAGAGGAAACCATCTGAGCACCACAAGACTTATGCTAAGAGATGGAGAAAAATAGCTGCAAAAGTTGAGCCACCAATGACTGAGGACGAAATCATCTGTACTTTCATTAAGGCACATGATCCACCGTACTTTGAGGAAATTTTCCGCATGACTGGGTGCTTGTTTGCCGCCATTGTCAATAAACTTGAAGAGTATGATGACTTTTTAAGAGTTGGGAAGATCGTTAATGTCTCTGCCCTCAAGTCGCAATTGGATGTTTTGCAAGGACAAGCGTGCAATGGGAAAAAGACGCCTTTTAAGAAAAAAGAAGGGGAAGCTGCCTTTATTTGGGACCGAAACCCCACACCGAGACCCAGATTTCAATATCATTCAACATACTCACCACCTTATCCCTACTATCCAAATCCTCACCCAGTTTACAACACCGATATCAACCATCCCCGACCTCACCCAAATTACACCAACCCGCCTAGAGCCCCTTGTCAAGTATCCCAACCTAACTTTCAACAAGTTCGACCCCGGCCTCCCTACAATCAACAATTTTCTCCACCAAATAGAACCACCTATGATTACCCCCAACCTATTGAACCCCAAAATCAGAACCGTTATCGCACCTTCACTAATCTTGGCAGGCCCCTGGACCAATTGTATGAACAATTAAAAGCCGCCGGTAAAATCGGCGTAATTCCCCCTCCAGCTTACCCTCATGGCGTTCCTGCCGGATACAATCCACAGTCCACTTGTGCCTATCATTCTGGAGCACCTGGCCACCCAACCGCCGATTGTAGTGCACTTAAGTACAGAGTCCAAGACATGATCGAGGCCGGGGAAATAATGATTAGGAAAATGGTAGAACAAGGACCAAACGTGAGTAAAAATCCCTTACCAGACCATGCCGATACTGTGGGAGCCGGGATTACAAATGAAGAGTTTGAAGAGTTAGCTCAAAGGAGCTACAGACAAGGGTGAATCGCCGGACAATACAGAATTCTCACTCATCCCTGAAGGAGCTTTGCACAATTGGACGGCCGAGTAGCTTCCCTCTCAAAGGGAATTTTCGGTAAAATTTGGGGATTGTCATTTGCTAAAATTCATGAAAATTGCCACTATTTTTTTTGTGTAAATAGTTTTATCAAGCTCACTTAAGTTTTGGCTAAAACAATTTTTGCAAGTTCCTGTGTTTTTCAACAAAGTGCATAGTTACATCTTTTCATTATTGTTGTTTGTTTGATACACCTTTGTTTATATTGGTTGATTGTTTATTGTTTTAAATTTAGTTCTAAATTCTTTTAGATGGCTAAAAAATAAAATTACTTGACCCTTTGGATATCACTGTTCTGTAATCCAATGATGGCAAGCTCGATATCACTCACGACTTTTTTATTACGGAACCCGAAATTCAAAACGAAAGTGATAGTGAGGAAGTATCTGATTCTTTTTCTCGAACAAAATGAAGAGAAATCCGAACCGAACCTAGAAGAGACAGAGATTGTTAACATCGGCACTGAAAATCCTTTCATTGAGAAACCCCCTTATTAAGGAATCCCTTCATTGAAAATCCCTTGATTAAGAAATCCCTTCATTGAAAAATTCCTTCATTGAGAAAGCCCTTCATTGAAAAATCCCTTCATTAAGAAAGCCCTTTATTGAAAAATCCTTTCATTGCGTATTCTAATGGGAGCCAAGTTGAAAGAAACTGATCGGTTAAAGCAGCGTCATGAACAACTGGCCCTGATTGATGAAAAGCGTCTGAATGCTATGGCCAATGTTATCAGAAACGCATGGCCAGGGCCTACTACAAGAAAGGTCCATCGGCAATCCTTTGAAGAAGGGGACAAAGTGCTAAAGCAAACTTTCCCAATGCAAGATGAAGCCAAAGGCAAATTTGCTCCAAATTGACAAGGGCCATTCGTTGTTCAAAAGTATTACCTGGCGGGCACTCATTTTGGCAGAGATGGATGAGCAGACATTCCCTCAACCTATCAACTCAGACATGTGTAAGAAGTTCTTTATTATGCGAATTTCTTTTGGAAATCATGCAAGGGACGAGACAAAAGTCAGGCCATCTTCCTTTCCAATCAAAACATTTCATCCCTATTCATCTCTTTTGAGCTATCAGAACAATAATTTTCGTTTGGCAGCCCCTGAGAATTGCAAACCCCATACTGGGGCAAATTTATTTTGAGAAGAGAGATGATCAAGAGGAAAAAGAAGAAGGAAAACCCCACACTGGGACAAATTTATTTGAAAAGAGAGATGATCAAAAGGAAAAGAAAAAAAGAGAAAGAAAAACCTCACACTGGAGCAAATTTAGTTTTTAAAGGAAAATGCAAAAGTGAGGAAATGCAATAAAAAATGCAAAGAGAGAAATCCAATCAAACTGGGGCAAATTTTCCTCGGTTTCGTTCAAAATTGGAGATAATTTCAAAATGATGCAATCTCAGGTTATTTCACACCTCTCTCATCAAGATTTTTGCTTTCAAGCCTCAACTTTTCTTGAAAAACCCCACCTGACCTCATTACAAAAGCCCAAAGTCCTGGCTTTCGTCACTTGCTGTATTTCTATTAGGCAGTTCGCTAATCAACTGGCAAGTGATGTCCATAATGCCTTCGCCTAAGTTTATAAGAGAAGTGCATTTTACTGATGCCAGCGATCTTCAACTTACATTCCTGAGTCGATTATGGTCGAGCTCTTCCATTGCTTCCTTAGGTGAAAACCCGAAAGGGCACCTCAAAAAAAAAAAGGAGAGAAAAAGAAAAGAAAAGAAAAACAAAACAAAAGGGGTGGGGGCAACCTTGATGAAAACCCGAAAGGGCGCCAAGGTAGGGTTCTGCAGCAAATGAGCACGAGGAGGAACAGCTGGTGACTTAGTTCATTTGGATTTCTCTTCGTTTTGTAATACTTCTGCCAATGTTGAATTCCGGAACAAAGATATCCAGAGGTTCGAATATGACATCCGTTGGCCAAAAAACTGTGTCACTTTGTAAAAACTTTTTTGCAAATACATTCTTACGAAGTTCATTTTCTTTTATTTGCTTGTACTTGTGGCATTTTGTAGGTTTTAGCACATTTAATTGTGATAGTATTCATTTTTGCGTAACATGTGAAATTACCTTGCATAAATCATTTTTAATCATTGAATTCTGGTGAATAACAATCCCTGTGGTTTATTCAAAGCATACTCGGATTCAGTCATCTTTCGGGAATGGTTAAGATTCGGCAAAGCCGGCTACGCAGGTTTCACAATATGGCAAAATGCATACCTGGTCAGTCTGGAAAAAATCAGAAAGTTTTGAAATGACAAATCCAACCAAGTCAGATGCCGCAGCTAAATTTGACAAAGGCATCAAAAGACTTATGTTTACACGGTTCTCAAAGGCAAACGGATCAAATGATGAGGGCGATTTCTTTGTACTTTCTCTTTTGCAAAAAAGTTTCATGCATGGATGAAAACAATTGCACCTCGCACTAAAGTCGGTATCGAAAAGTGTTCTCCAAATGAATAACGGCAGATCGAAATACGTTGCAAGCAAGTTTGATCAAAAGGTGCAACAACGTAGCAATGCAGAATCAACTATTGGTTTAAATGCAAAAACCTAATTCTTACTAGGGGCAAAAGTTTGGGCTATTTTTAGGTGAGTATACTGGAATGTCCCGTTTTAAATTTCTTTTACACCGCCACTAGCCGTTGGGTCAGTCCCACTAGTGAGCATTTCTTTTACATTACCACTAGCCGTTGGGTCAGTCCCACTAGTGAGCATTTCTTTTGCACTGCCACTAGCCGTTGGTCAGTCCCACTAGTGAGCATTTCTTTTGCACCGCCACTAGCCGTTGGGTCAGTCCCACTAGTGAGCATTTCTTTTACATCGCCACTAGCCGTTGGGTCAGTCCCACTAGTGAGCATTTCTTTTGCACCGCCACTAGCCGTTGGGTTAGTCCCACTAGTGAGCATTTCATTTGCACTGCCACTAGCCGTTGGGTCAGTCCCACTAGTGAGCATTTCTTTTGCACCGCCACTTGCCGTTGGGTCAGTCCCACTAGTGAACATTTCATTTGCACTGCCACTAGCCGTTGGGTCAGTCCCACTAGTGAGCATTTCTTTTACATTGCCACTAAACGTGGGTCAGTCCCACTAATGTGCGTTTAAATTTCCTATTCGGGCCAGTCCCATTTTAAATTTTCTGTTCGGGTCAGTCCCGTTTAAATTTTCTATTCGGGTCAGTCCCGTTTTAAATTTCCTGTTCGAGTCAGTCCCGTTTTAAATTTTCTGTTCGGGTCAGTCCCGTTTCAATTTCTGTTTGGGTCTGTCCCGTTTTAAATTTCTTGTCTAGGTCAGTCCCATTTTTGAAAGTTTTGTTAAAGAGGTCAGTGCTCATTTCAAAAGCGTCAGTCGCTCGAGTAGTTTGTAGCCGAATAACACAGGTGAGTATTTGGTGTCTACGTCTTTGTCTCGAGTTTCTTCAAAACTCAGATAAAGAGGGCAAACTGTAGACACCAAATTTTTAACCTTTCTTTTTCTTTTTCTTTTATTTATTTAATTAGTTTTGTTTTAATTTTTTCTAAGAAAATTGTTTTACTATTATTAATTAATTCATTGAAAAAAAGAAGGAAAATCATCCATCAAACGCAAAAAAAATTTTTTGAGTTTTATTTTATCTTTTATTCCTGGTTTCGCTCATTTTATTTGATTTTACTTAAAATGTTATTTTTGTTTATGTTATTTTCATTTTTATTAAGTAATTGATTAAAAAAAATAAGAAAAATTGTTCACAAAATTTCCTTTATTTTCTTTTCAGTTCAATCTTTTAGCATTTATTTATTTTTGTTTTATTTTTATTGAAATTTCATTATTTATTAAAAAAAAAGAAAAAAAGGGGAAAAGCCATACAATGCAGCGGATTTACAGAGTCATGAAGGATACCATTTTCCATGAATATTTTTAGCTTTTCTCTCTTCCAAACATTCGGCCACCTCATCCCCTTGGATTCTTATCAAAGACCTTCCGGACACAATAGCCATCGGATGGCCAAGGGAGAAGGGTTGAGCTGAGGTTTGCTGGTGACCATTGAAATGATGGTTTAGGGTCTTCCACTTGATATAAAAGGGTTGGAAAAAGAAACGCAGCCAAGGGGCAAGTATGTGACGGCGGGGGTGCTGAGGAAAAACCAGAGGAGACGCTGAGAGAAAAGGAACGGGCGAAGACAGGAGAAAACTGACGAGAAAAGAGAGAAAAAAAAAAGCTTCGAAAAACAGTCGAGTGAATGAAAAACTGAAAAGGGAAGGGAACAAGAACTGGGTAGTGAGGTTGAAAAGAGAGAGCTTTAAGCTGGTGTCATCTGTGGCTGCTTTCATCTGCTGGAATACACCTCCATCGTCTTCACGTTGTGCTGAACAACACTCTCAAATCTGATTTCTTTTGCTGTCTAGGTATACAAAGCTTTGCCTACTCCCTCAAAAATCCATTTGATGTTGTTTTCTTTTCCTAAAATCTGTGCTTAGATTGAGGTTCTAGTATGGTGGCTAGTTGTGTGATTGATATGTTAGGGTATGAACTTATTGCAAGTTTTTATCCTTTGCTGCATTTTCTTTTCTGTCGCACATGGCAGTGTTGCTAATAGGTGATTTGTCGGGGATTATCTTAACAATGTTACGAAGTTATAACATTAGAGGGTTTGGGGTAGTAAATGGGGGGTTTCGTGGGACTGTTTTTGCATAAACATGCTCCAAATGAGTGAGAAAATGAAGAAAGTTTCCAACTTTGTGTGATTTGTATCTGAATCTTTTGTGTGAGAAAGTATTGTTGTTCATGTTCTATTCTTTTGGACTGGTGGAAAGTATGGCTAGCCAGTCGTTTTGCTGAACTTTTGGTTTTGAGTGAAGCCTGTGATTAGTGTGTTGTTTAGTTGGTTTATTCAGTTAAATGAAACAAGTTGCGAAAGAAAGTTTCCAGATTGGGATACTCCTGTGTTTTGACTCTTTTTGGGTGTTTGAATCCAAGGTTTTTATGTTAAAAGTTGAAAACAACGCTTGCTGATGCCATGGCTTGGATTCAGAGTATGTTGGTCGAAGTTTAAGAGCACAACAGCTGCTGCAACGAGCATGAAGCTCTCAACTTGTTGTAGCAGTGCGTGCGGATAGCTTGTGTGCCTTTTGGTTTGCTGAAATGGCTGCTCAATGAATCTTTACGCTTAAGTTGCATGTTTAATCTGGTGTTGAAGGGAAGAAATGGAAGGTTTGGTGCTGAGTTTGTGTGTTTGGGTCTAAAAAAAAAAAGAAACACTTGAATCATGTTTGAATAATTGCTGGAAAAATAAACATCTAGGTTGCCGAACCATGTTTTGCATGTTTTTCTAGAATTTCGCATGATATCTTTCTAAGTTTATTGCTTGTTTGGATGGTGGTGAGTATGTAGTTTGCGCCTAGTTTAAAGCTGTGTGTTTGGGTTTGAAATCAGAATTTTGAAAGACAAGCTGTGCGTTTGGATTTGTTTCGGTTGCGGAAAGCATAAGAGCAAAGTATTGCAGAAGCTCTCTTTGCAATTGATTTACGTGATTTTGTGCTTAAACATGAGGACTTTTATGGTGAAAAATGAGATGAATGTTTAGTGATTTTGTTGTATTAGTTGTTTGAGATATTGAAATGTGGATTGCTTAAGATGATGAATTGAAAAGAAAACAGCTTTTGAGGAAAACTTGCACTTTTGTATGATCTCAATTTAAGTTTTTGTCTGGTTGAACGCTGAATGTTGCTGCTCATCTGGTGTTAGATTCAGGCTTTAATGTTTTGGTTAAAAGTTTCGATCAAAGTGGTGTTTAAGGTTGAAATCCGCATGCAAAGAAAGAAAAATGAAAGTAGCAGTTGTATTTTGTTTAGTTGCA